CCGCTTTCGACAGGATAACGACAGCCCGGGCGTTGGCAATTACTTTTTTTGCACTGTCCAGTCATTTAAACACGATTTTTTTAAAAAAAAACTAGATACAAAAATACTCAGGGACAAAAATAATCTATGACCAAAAAAGTGGAAAACTGTAGATCGTTAGAACCATAAGTACTAACAGATACAATAGAAAAAAGGAGTACTCAAAAGTGCTGACAATAAAATTACTTTAGAGACAGAAAACGATGATTTAATCGAATACTTTAACTGAAAGAAACTCAATTAAAGTGAAAAACCGCAGTTTTGATACCTATAAACGATCAAAACAATAGAATTTACTCAGTGAGGAAAAATACCACTGTACTTTTTATAGACTGAAATGACATATTTAGTGTGTAGCGTGGTGTCGAGTTGAGCTTGACTATGAACACCGCTACCAGACTACGTGCCAATAGACCAATAAGATTCCGGTAGACCAAAAATCAGAAGGCAGATGATAGTAGTAGTTGCAATATATTTGTTGGCAATCTCATGGTATCGAAAGAATACCGAGATCGTGCCAAAGGAGTACAGATGCGATCGGCAAGAAAAGATACGTGCGTAGTCGAAAACCGCGTAGAAGCAATCGAATACAATGGAAGACCAAAATGGCTGTTATTAGCACAGTTAAACAAACGAGCACAATAAAACAATCACTGGTACAATTGGTTATAATAATAATTGTTTTCATCGAACCAATCGCGTTCTGTTGACAAAAGTAGGTCACTACAGAAGCCCCCCGCTAGAAAGGGTTTACACTTTCGATAGGTAGCGGTTTGATTCGTGGGACTGATCGGCAGAAATGCGGTTGTAGGACGAAGGAAATTGGCGGAACAGGAAGTGATCGTTGATCCTTGAGTTGCCAACGAAGGTCTTTTGTGCAGTACGGTACCAGGAGAAGTGTGCTGTATTTGTTGGTCGAATTAGCATACCACACCAGAGTGGTTTGTATCCAGGATCTGATGATTGCGTTCGTAGGGATGTGAACCAGAAAACTCTGCAGACGTAGGACGAAACCACGTTGAGGCAAGAAACCGGACGCGAACATAACGACCAAGCGTATGCCAGGCGAATTCGAGACCAGATAATCGACTGAGTGCGTTGACTAGAGCATGGGTGGCCAAACCAGCTTTTGCCAAATTTGACTGAAGTCGACGTTATCAAACGGGCGATGATCGGAGGCTTGGGCTCAGGATACAAAAAAAAAATCAAAAAAAGAAAAGTGTAGCATGCGTGTAGTATAGGAATAATCCTACACCGTATCCGTTATTGACTGTGCGTTTAGTCGCGAAAGCGTACGGGTAATCGTACTCGGCGACCGGAACGTGAGACGGTGGTCTCGTTCGTACTTCGTGAGCCTGCTATCTCATCCGAGGTCAAGGGCGGCGTGGTCTGCTGATCCGGACGTGAGACGGAAGTCTCGTCCGTAGATGGTGCAGATGACACGTGCTGTTGACCGGGACGTGAGAAAGAGATCTCTGATGTATCTAGCGTGGGATCCGAGGTAGACGTAGAGATCTCGCTAGAAGGTTTGATAGGTCTAGCATTAAGTCTCAAGTTATCGGGTAGGGCACTGTCATCGACGTGTGCTGCTTTGAGACGATCAATGCTGACGATCTCGACACGGCCATGTCGATCAACCTTGAAGGTCTTTTCGTGACGAGAGATCACGTGAAAAGGGCCTTCATAAGGCTGTTGCAAAGGTTTGCATACCGAATCTACTCGTATGAAAACATGTGAACAGGTAGATAACTCTCGAGGGAGAGCGACCTGTCGATGTTGTATTCGAGTTGACACCGGAGACAGCGTTCGCATAAATGCAGACAGTCGATGGACGTAGTCTGATTTACCGAAATCATTACTGCTCCGTGGTGTGAAGAATTCCCCAGGCAGACGCAATGTCGTGCCGTATATAAGTTCAGCGGTGGAACATTGAATATCTGCCTTCAAACTCGTTCTGATGCCTAAGAGAATGAGCGGTAAGGTTTCATACCAACTGTCGTTTTCGTGTGCTCGAAGAGCACTTTTAAGTTGGCGATGAAACCTTTCGACTAAACCATTCGATGCTGGATGGTAGACGGTAGTGCGTATGCGTTCCGTACCAAGCAGCCTGGTCAGTGAGGAGAATAATGCGGACTCAAATTGTTGTCCTCGGTCAGTCGTGACAGTCGAGGGACAACCGTACAATGCTATCCATCGTTCTACGAAGCGGTGAGCAACTGTCTCCGCCGTGATAGACGTGATGGGAATAGCTTCGGGCCATCTTGTAAAACGGTCAATGCACGTGAGTATGTGATCATACCCATGCGATGGTGGCAATGGTCCTACAATGTCTATATGAGCGTGATCAAAGCGAGCATCAGGCGTAGCGAACGTGCCAATGAGGCAGCTACGTGCCTAAGCACTTTTGATCGTTGACACTGTAAACATTGCTTTACCCACATACGAACATCTTTATTCATGGACGGCCAGACGTATCGTGCAGCGATGAGACGTAATATCGCTGCGATACCTGGATGAGACAATCCATGAAGGGCATCGAAGACGAGACGGCGATAGGCAGAGGGTACGATGGGTCAAGGTAGACCGGTAGAAATATCACATAGGATAGTACCTGAGCTAGTAGCTAGGGGTACTTCCTGACACTGAAGGGACGAAGATTGTGGTGCTTCTGTACAGACAGGATCGTTTGCTTGTGCAGCGGCCATAGCAGGAAGATCGAGCACCGGTAAAGTAACTGCATTCGTCTGGATACGTGATAGAGCATCAGCAACATAGTTCGACTCGCCTTTAATGTGACGAAGGTCTGTCGTGAACTGTGAGATATAGTCCAAATGTCTGCACTCTCGTGGTGAGTAGCGGTCAGACTAAGTATGCAGAGCATACGTTAAGGGCTTATGGTCGGTGAATAAAATGAATTGACGTCCTTCTACTGCGTGCCGGAAATGTTTGATGGCGCAGTAGGCTGCTAGCATTTCGCGACTAAAAGCGCTATATCTCGTCTCCGTGGGAGTAAGGCGTCGTGAGAAAAATTCGAGCGGTTGCCAACTATTTATTTATTTATTTGAACACATAAATATTGGTACAGGGGGGCACCAAATATATATGCGCCACATAGGTTGCCAACTACCGGAGATATTCTGTTGCATAACGGCTCTTATGGCAAAATCCGATGCATCAACCGCTATACTAAGCGTAGCTGATGGGTCAGGATGAGCGAGAAGTGTAACTTGCGCGAGAGCCGTTTTGATCTCTGAAAATGCAGTGCGTGCGGTATCGTTCAATTCTAATTTGCGTGGATTACAGAGAAGTAAATCGGTTAATAGTCGTAACCGTTCTGCCGCGTGAGGGATGAAACGTCGGTAGAAGTTAACCAAACCGAGAAAAGCCTTCAGTTCCTTGAGTGTGGATGGCACGTTGTACACCTTTATTGCTCGAACTTTGTCCTCGCAAGGCAGAATATCCTCTTGTTTGATGATGTGACCCAAAAACATTATTTCCGATCTGCCCAATTCACACTTGTCTGGGTTGACTACTATTCCATTATCCGAAAGGCGTTGGAATAATAGTGTAAGGTGTTGATAATGTTCATCTACGTTTGATGATGCGATCAGCAGGTCATCAATATAGACGTGAACAAAATCCAAGTCTCGTCTATGCTATCGATAAACCTTTGGAAAGTTTGAGCAGCATTCCGTAATCCAAATGGCATTCGTAGGAACTCAAACAGACCCAAAGGAGTCGTGATAGCAGTTTTTTCGATGTCTTCAAGAGCGACTGGGATCTAGTGATATGCTCGTACCAGATCGATTTTAGAAAAGATAGTCGTGCCCTTGAGCGATGCCGTGATGTCGTGTATGTGGGGATGGGGTAACTATCAAAGCGCGTAACTACGTTTAATGCACCGTAGTCGCCGCATGGTCTCCAGCTAACTCCATCCTTTTTTGCACACCATATAAAGAGGAGAGGCCCAAGGACTGTGAGAAGGACGAATAATACCAGCAGATAGTAAATTGTCAAACTCACGTTTAGCGAAAGCTAATTTGTCCGGTGCCAGTCGGCGTGGTCTTGCCGTGACTGGTGGTCCGCGGGTGACTATGTGGTGTACCACATGATTGTTCACCGATGAAATCTCGAGTGATTTAGTTGTTCTGGGGAATTTCTCGAATAAGGCGTGGAATTTATCGTCACGCGAATAAAAAGCGCCGAGGATTCGGTACGCGTACATCGGAGTCTATTATATTAATACTATTCTTATCGTTATCCGTCATGTCAAATATATTATATATTAAAAATTATTATGAAAATATATGACAGACGTGGATAGATAAAACAATAGACTCACCGAATTGCCTTCTTTGGAAGATTTGACCGAGGTTGAGGCGTGTTCCAAGATTTGGCTCACCAAATGTAGCGTGGTGTCGAGTTGAGCTTGACTATGAACACCGCTACCAGACTACGTGCCAATAGACCAATAAGATTCCGGTAGACCAAAAATCAGAAGGCAGATGATAGTAGTAGTTGCAATATATTTGTTGGCAATCTCATGGTATCGAAAGAATACCGAGATCGTGCCAAAGGAGTACAGATGCGATCGGCAAGAAAAGATACGTGCGTAGTCGAAAACCGCGTAGAAGCAATCGAATACAATGGAAGACCAAAATGGCTGTTATTAGCACAGTTAAACAAACGAGCACAATAAAACAATCACTGGTACAATTGGTTATAATAATAATTGTTTTCATCGAACCAATCGCGTTCTGTTGACAAAAGTAGGTCACTACAAGTGTATGCATACTTTGCAAAGAATTATCAATCATATAAGTCGTATTACCTCATGTACTTCTATTGGGCAGGTCGTCGCGATAACTTGCAGAATGGACATTATGAGACACTGTGGTTGAATTCAAATCACGTTCAAGACTGTCTCGATTTGACCGCTTCTGAGAAACCTTATTAATTGCCGAGGTGGCGCATTGATCGTTTTAGGACAGCTTGACCTTCAGAAGTGGACGATACGCTAAATCATTGCAGCTTCAGAATACATATAATTCAGGTATGTACAGCTTAGGTACAGATGCAAGTGAAATAGGAATTAAATCAGCGTTTTCCCAAATTGGACGCAATTACAACGCGCTTATTGTTAGGTTTGGAAGTCAAGCGTTAAACCGGTCTGAAAAAATTATTGTTACACGAAAAGAAATACTAGCTGTCGTGAGATTCGTACGGAAGTACAGACCGTAACTTCTTGGCAGAAATTTCATACTAAGGACTTATCATAAAGCTCTCTAATGACCACATAATTTTGGGAGGGAAAACGACATATTCGCAAGACTATCTGCATAACGTGAAAAACGCGGCTGGAAGACAGCGAGTACTGTTAATTGATATGAAGGTTGGGTCGCTGGGAGTTGATATAATCGGACTACTGGGAGATATAACAAGAAAGCATATACATATTGATTGTAGTAGATTAATTCACGAAATGGTGTGAAGCCATCCCACTTGATATAATCAATGCTAGTACGGTAGCAAAATCATTGTTTGACAGCTAGATTACCGTATGTGGAGCACCCGAGCAATTGCATTTTGATCAGTAATCTAATTTTAAAAGTATATTGATGTGAGGATTATGCTTCGAAAACACTACTCAGAACCTTTATCGAGACGGAAGTGGTGGCATGGGATACACTACTACCCCCTTGTTTGTGAGTATACTAAGGTAGCAAACAGGAGTCAACAGGATATTCACCACATTATGGCTGGGAAAAGACATGTGTCTTCGCAGTGGCTAGTCAGTGGGATGACCTTATTGTATTTTAAATGGTTGTTCGGTTGAAGAGTGATATTATATACAATCATGGCTTGGCCCGAGAGAACCTATGGAAAACCCAACACAAGCAGAAGGCACACTGTGACCGGAAGAGTTGGGGAACTCCTCTAGAGATAAGAAATCTTGGTTTAAGCAACAAGATGTTATTAATCAACAAGGAGAAATAAGTCAACTGGACACTACTGGGTTAATCTCCAGGTAACGGAGAGTTCTTATGACATCGTTGGATAGGGAAAAGAAAAGATATAGAACTTGATTGTACATTCTAACCAATTGAAGGGGCGAAGCAGTAGTGAAACTTCTAACCCTGTTAACCTTATTACTGCAGGTACAAACGATGTACAGGAAGAAACGAACACTTTATTTTTTGTTAAACATAGTGTGGAATGAGTCATTTAATCTTGGCTTTTTCTCTACTCATTCGGTCCCACAGAATGTTAACGGAGTTTTCTGTCATTAGAATTCTTTAAAATAGCTGTTAGGTATTGTGATTGACTTGAGATTCAGCATCATTTGTTCCAAACCATAATCATTTTACCACTTATTAGTTTTTTGCTTCCGATATGTATTCTTATCAGTTCGAATACTTCATTTCGGCTCGTTTTCCTTTCTGCGCTGTTGTAAAGTATGAACTCAAATCAGTACATTCTTGCGTGAAGCTTTATTTTTTTGCTTATTCTCTGTTTTTGGGCTCACCATATTTTCAAGATAGCACTTTGATTATCTTGTCTCACTTGTAAACCATGCATAATTGTTCTAGTTAATTAAAAAACAATCCGAGACTTCTCTAAAGATACATTTTGAGAATAAAGTCTATCCTTGATGTCCTTTTTATTGTACAAATAAACGATTGTGATTTAACTGTCGATAAGATAGATGATATACGACAACTTACTACTTTTTTCCAGCAGAGGTGTGAAAATTTTGAACAAAATATCATTCATAATAGACGTATGATTGGCAAGTTTAAGACAGAAAGGGAAGCATGTAGCGTGAAAAACAGTTCGAAAGTAACAGACTAAATGGGATATTTAAGATCTGAGGCAAGATATGTAAGAAAGCAACTGCACCACGTCCACTGATTTAGGGCCACATAACACATCCCAGGATTACAGTTATCTTACAAGTTCTAGGTAGGATTTTCGGACTTGCTGACAGCTTAAACCGACAGTCAGTGACCTCATTGCTTAATACATCTTCTTTACCTCCTGGACTCTAGTGTATAAATAGGGACGAAAAACAAGTTGAAAACAGGCTATTAGTGTTTTAACTTTGAATTGAAACAGTTTCAAGCCACAGACAGAAAATTTTCTGGTTGTTGATGGTGAGTATATGGGGTTTTTGTCTGTATCCTTTTTCTGAAATCATCACTCAGATGTCCGACATTGAGTACTCACTTTATTCTTTTGATTACGGGTCCCTGAAATAACGTTAGGTTGGGTGTCAAGTAATATTTGTAGGTTATGATGAACTACTCATAATTAACTAATTGAATGCCGTGTTAATTCCCTTTTAGGTCTCTATATGTTTAAAATTTGTTATAGCGAATTGCAATAACGTGAAGTTTTCTTTATAGTTCTGCTGTGTTGATATTAGTGGTATGTTCCTCAGATTTTAAAAGATCTTAATTATTTGGAAGGGACAAATTATGCTAAATAATCTGTTACATTCCTATGCTTTTTCAAATGTCTCAAAAAGATTTTCTTTAAAAACGATGTCTACTTTGGTGTATCGTAACAAAAATCCAAGGTTAGAAAACTTTTACGGAAGGCATATTTATAGAAATCTTGAACTTCTTGGTCTAGCACCGAAAACGAAAGGTTGGGAATTTCAAGCTCCACGAAAAGACTTCTGGAATAAGTAATTTTTATTGAAATATTTTGCTTTATATTAATAAAGAGTAGTCTTAAATAGAGATTCTCATAATACAACAGGTCTTGTTGTTCATGTTTCTTCAAAAGTGCTAATCTCTGCTTCAACTAAAGAAGTTAGCATCAGAAAACATTTATATAGGTATTATTTTTGAAAATGCTACATCTTTTAGTTGTATTGACGTTTCAGCTGCAGAAAATGTTGGAAGAGTGTTGGCCTTAAGATGTCACCAATGCGGTTTCACGGAGTTATTTTCGGAAACAAGCGAGACATATAAAGAAAACGAAAGCGTATGTTCTCTGTCATTCATATTCTAGATAAAAATAGATTAGAGTTTTCTACGAGTCCTTGTTGAATGGTGGTATACAACTGAAGGAGACACCACCTATTGAAGAGTTGGATGCCATTGGGATAGATTATGACAGTATGTCAGATGAAGAAAAACGTGCTATGTATCCAAGCCTTATTGAAACACTTCGTACTACACCAGACTGGGATAACATTCCTTATCCTTATTCACTTAGACCTAGAGCAGGATCATATAAACTAAAAAGTCGTTATCAAGTAAGTTTAATTTTACTTTATTAACACTTTAAATGTATATTTTTCCTCATTTATTTTTTTAAAATCGTTGTTTGTTCTGAGTAAAATTAGCGAAACTCGCCTAAATATATGTGCGTGAGCAGTTTATTTGTACGATTGTTAACATAACAGGATCCAAATTCACATTTTTTTGCCGTTATCACATGCGTCAAGCAGGCTTTATAACCTTTTTGACTTCGATATTACTACCATATTTAATAAAATGTCTTACTAATGATTTTCATTCTTTTGTTACAGATTCTTTCAAAAATCCGTCAAGGTATGGTATGGGATCCATATTACTCGAGAATGGTGCATCCACGAAACAAAGCTTATTGGCAGCACGACTATGAAGAGCTGCAAAGGAAGAAACTAGAATCTTTGGGAGACTCAAACAAGAGTGAAGAACCAGTTAAAACAATTGTTCCATCTAAGTGGCAGTTAATATAGAACAGTTCAACTAACACAACTTAAGTTGTATACATAGATTAGTGTACATAAAATATGATTTTACTGATACAAGGTTTTCATTGTTTTATCTACACAGACGGGGATTTGACATGTCTCATTCTAATTTATCGTAAGTTATTTGTCTTTTTAGTTGTGGTGTCCTCCTGACACTGCAGTCTGGATATTAAGTTATTCATTCAATACAGAAGTTTGTGAAGCGGATTAATAACTTCCGTCTTTCTTCAGTGGTAATGTCTTGGAATCCTAACTTACGTTTTTTTCATTTGAAGATTTCAGATTTCCATTGTGGCTCATTGATGACGATATTGAAATATAATTCCCCATTTAGTTACGTATATCATACTTGAGTTAACCCCATTGTGCAATGGTGGTAGCGAAATGTCAAATATGAGATCTATTGGGAGAATTTATTTCAGGCATTGGTATACGAGCAGACAAACCGTAAATGTAAATCAAATTAACGAATTTGGGATGATAGTTGTCAGCCTACTCGAAATGTTTATCCTTTAATGGGTTTATATATAATTCACAAACAAAGTGACAAGAATGATAGAATTACATGCATAGTAGGCCATCATTACATATGGAAAACGATTTATTTCAGTAAGCGAGCATATTTATACAGATGAATGGAATTTCTAAGGGCGTGACGTTTGTCCGATTTAATGTTACTACCTACTCATCACTCCTATGAATAATCAACAACTCAGTTTTAACCCCGCCATGAAGAGTACTTCCAACAAGTACGGTGATTTTTAAAAAAATATATTGTCAATTTCCCATTTTAATGAGTTGATTTGTTTACGAAAATTTATCATAGTAACCGAGAAGATTCATTATCTAAATGCCAACATTGTGGAATCTCGTACTAATAATTGAATGGATCAACTGGATCTTTAGTATTTTATAAATGATGTACGTTTCGTACAAGAGTAAGTATATAGAATTTTCTGTTTAGATTGAAAAATGTGTGACTGGACCGTTAATAATATTTTACATAGCACAAAAATGTTAACGTACGACCGCGCATGATTGTGATCCGTCGGCCACTTTTGGCTGGATAAAATCCATCTATCATCTAAGCAAGAACGAAAGATCCACAGCCAGTGGGTTTTTTCGAACCATTAAATACGATATATTTTGTGAAACCTTTCTCGTGCTGATGAATATTTTGTCGGTCACTGTGGACGGCTTTTCATACTGCACACGTATTTCACGTAAAATTTCTTTTTGTTATGGCCATGATGGATAATGTAATGAGAGGACGTTTCACTTACATTATCTATTAATTGTATGATAACCTCTTATTCTGTTGGGAATCCAACATCCACAAACATCTCTTTAAAAAGATTAAGCTTCGCTGTTAAAAATAGACATGTGAGATAACATTACTGGGGGTAGTAAACATTGCGAATTGGTAATGAACTCGAAAAATTACGGTATATTTTTAAACTAAACTTTTCGCTGGACGTTTGAAACTCTGTTTTAAACTGTTCTTAATGGGTACGGAAGATTTACCTAGGGGAGTTGAAAAATCTTGATTTAAAACCGATGGTAGACATGGGCTCCATGATTCTGAGGAGACAAATGGTCACCGGCTACCATGGGACTGCATCTTCTATCGTTGCTTAACTGCATTGTGGATTAGACCTCTAGGTCAAAGGTTTCGGTTGTGGTCCCCCAAGAAAACCACGTGCTCCAGTTTGGGCACCCAGGTAGTATCACAGATCACACAAATCAATGATAATTACTACTGGAAAAAATAACCCTTGCTTCCACGCTCATTCAGAAATATCTTATTTACAATCATATGATAGCACTCGTTTTTGTTTCTTTTATGCTACATCCCTTATGTACTCATTTTGTGTATTTTACCCTTCGACTTATACAGTAGCTCACCCATGGTGGGAGCCCTATACTATTTAAACGATCTCAAGTCACTGACTGGTCGAAAGTTGAGTGCGACTACCGACTACAAATGCTTGAAGTCTTTCTGAGACCACGTACGCCATTCAGACTAACTTTCTTCAACATTCGCACACTAATATAAATCGGACAACAGATAGGGTTGGCTATGTCCTTAAAGGTCTTAGTATCGATGTTTATCTGAGATCCGTATTCAAGACTCTAGTAAAGTACTACAAATTCGCTTTACATCTGTCATTTCAAAAAGCTTGTTTCACGTGCGTTTATCCGAAGACACTGGCAAATTCGTCTGGTGTTGGTGCCTCACTAAGCGCTAGAGCTGAGGCAGCACTGACAGAAAAGAGTCTTTCAGGCGGCCGATGGGGACTTGTTGCTCTCAGGTCAGATAACTGTGACCGTTTACTGGAACTTTGCGCATATTACAACCTGTTTCTGGCTAGCACTAACTACCGGTATAGTTATCGCCGATGTGCTATCTGGCGTCCTCCCTCTGCATTTCAAGCCTGGACTCAGACCGATCACATCACGGTCAGTTACCGCTGGCGTGGATGTGTACAAGACTGCTGCTCTTTTTGAAATACGTATTTGGACTCTGATCATGCCCTTGTTTGAGCTAATTTTACCTTACGTTTCAGTGGCCAGCAAATTTATTGTCCTATATGGATCGACGTCATCAAATTGGTTGCAGCTTCTGTTGCAACTAAATATCAAAGCGAGCTAGGTTCAAGGTTAACTACCATCCCACTGAAATGTATAGATGAGTATTGACTGCATCCGCATGACGACAAGAAAATTGCGTGTTAAGTATCGTGGCTACGCGAAAAATCCCGCTTACAAGTATTGGGTCTTTACAGGCTCATTATAACTTATTGAAGCGTGTCGGTGTAGTCCAACTGACCACTAGTCTGACCACAAACGAAGATTGTTACGTAATGGCATTGTGCCAAGCTTGAGTAAGGACCAAAAAGCTTGGTGGTAAAAGCTCTTTCAGTTCACTAGAGTCACCGGCTGTATGATATCTGGTGTGAAACAATCTGTGAGGCAAACGGGATGCTAATTAATAACACCTACCGACGTCTTGAACGATGGGAAGTTTTTCGAGGAGCAGTTCAACTGGTTTGCCGTCCCGGCCACATATATCAGACTGCCCTACCCTCCATGGCCTGTAACGACTGACCCATCAAACAAGGCGGAAGTTAGCAAATAGCTCCAACTCTTGAAGCTCTGCAAATCACCAGACCTAAATTACTCACGTCCAGCCAATTTAAAGACGGCGGCGACTTTCTGGTTAAAAAACTGACTGAGTCATTTACACAGGTATGGCAATTAGAGAGTGTTCCAACGTCATGGAATGAGTCGATGGTTGTCCCTATCTTTAAAAAGTGTTCATGTAATTTATGGAACAAGTATCGGAGGATAAGTCCACTTATGATTGCGTCCAAACTATTTTTTACGTCAAACTTCATAGATTGTTCAAAACCTGAGGTCGAGGATACATTGATCATATCTTCGTCCTGTGGATCTGTTGCCTGGAGAAAGACTTCTCGACTTTGAGTATGCGGATGATATTGTCTTACTGTGCGAGGATACCTATACCATGCAATCCGCACTTAATCAGTTGGAAATCAATGTCCGTAGGTATGGTATGTGCTTCGCACCTTCGAAGTGCAAAGTACTCCTACAAGACTGGCAGGATTCTAATCCTGTACTCTGGACGGTGAGCAGATAGAAGTGGTCGAGAAGTTCGTGTATCTAGGTAGCTGCATAAGTGCTTGTGGTGGCGTGAGTGATGAGATGAATGCACCTATAGTGAAAGCCAGAGCGGCTTGTGCCAATCTGTGCCACCTTTGGCGCCTTTGTGATGTCAGTCTGGCTGTAAAAGGTCGGATCTACAACGCGACGGTGAGAACAGTTTTGCTCTATGCTTGTGAAACCTGGCCTTTCTGAGTTGAGCATGTTAGATAACTCTGTTTGACCATCGTTGTTTCCGAAGAATTGCTGACATCCAGTAGCAGCATGTTAGTAGTGAAGAGGACCGACATCGTGTGTTCGGGCACAGAGACGATAATCCAATCGGTATCACTGTCTTGGAACACCGACTTCATTGGCTTGGACATGTCTCAGGAATGTCGTCTCAGCGGATTCCACGTCGTGCGTTATTTGCCGATGTTGGGAGCAGTTGAAAAAGGCGGAGAGGTGGTCAGCGTACGATATAGTGTTATGGCACGAAAGAAAGGTGTACAGGACTGGTATCTGTTGGTCCTTCACGACTCCTTGGTAGAGGTCCTATAAATTGTGCAACACAGTGTCTTGAGACAGTATCAGACGGCTCAAAGTAAAAGTCAGTGGAAATCCTATTGTAACTTTTTTACTTCCTTCATAAAGGTGAGAGGAACTTTTTTGACTGAAACGATCCTTTCTGGTAATATTTTCCTTAACTGCTTCTCCCACCATAACAATAATATTATTATCGTTATTTTCACTGTCATGCACTAATTTCTATTCACTTTTGTTCTTTTTTATTATACTCACATTCCTTTCTCTATTTCTTTACAATATTAAGGTCTATAATTTTGTTTCTTTTTACAGGTATTATCATTTCTAATATCATATTAGCTATATGTTGAATTACAGTAACCCATGATGTTACCGAATTTGAATTTAGACGACATTATCGATGTGGATAAAGTTACACCTATTTTGGCTTGGGCTGTTCAATAGTATCGGTAGTATGGATACAAATGATGTGACTCAGGGTCGATTACACAAAATTTAGATAAAGAAATGTATCCACATGTTCAACAATATGTTGTTTATTACTGTTATATAAAATAAACATTGATGAATAACATAAAAGGTAATTAATTAATTAAATAATTGGTAAATACCATATACGTTTATCAAATATTTGATGTTTTACACATTTTAATTTTTACGAATCATATAACTAACCTGTAATTGAGAACATACAAGTCTTTTCATTATAGGCTAATGATTTAATCGATGTATTTAGTGTTAAACAGTCAGGTTCTAAATAAGTTTTCATGTCTACCTTTTTAATCCCAGTTGAGTAGTGTTTTGACACTGTTTTATGAATTACTTCTTCGCTTTTCTGCTACCTCCTTTTCTTCCACGTGCCAGTTTTCTTGTTTTATATGACCTCCAAAATGCTTGTATTGTTATAACGGCTTGTTCCATTTGACGTCTTTGTTCTTCCTCTCTTTGTCGTCTTTCATCCTCTAGCCTACGTTCTTCCATTATCTTTTGATACTCTTCATTTATAATCTAAATATAAAGGACACTAATTAATTAGATGGTTATTATTAATGATTTAAAATATTTTTTGATACTTAACGTTTTTTCAAGTAGTAGGCTTTTTGTGGCGAAATGTAAGGTATCACACCTAACAATAGGTAGTTACTTGGATTGCCTATATGTGGTTGATGGACTATATTTTTTTCGTACTAGTATATTACAGTCTACATTTTATTGTGGTTAAGTGTTGTTAGATCAATTAAATTCTGAAAGTGGAGAATTTTACTTGAGGAAATGTTTATCAAGTCGTGGAACGTCCGGACAATGTGGGAGACCGGGAAGGCCATTCAAATAGCAACGGAAATGAGGAGATACAACTTGGCAGTACTGGGAATCAGCGAAACCCATTGGACCTAAGCTAGACAACAAAGGCTAAATACGGGAGAGATGCTGCTATACTCCGGTCACAAAGAGGAAAATGCTCCACACACTCAGGGAGTTGCTCTAATGCTGTCCAAAGTAGCACGAAATGCACTTGTAGGATGAGAATCTCACGGATCCAGAATCATCAAAGCATCATTCAAAACAAAGAAGGAGGTGATCACAATGAACATTATTCAATGTTATGCACCCACCGATGATAGCAACGACGACATTAAAGATCAATTCTATGAGAGGCTGCAATCAATCATCGAGAAATGCCCAAGAATGGACCTCACCATTCTGATGGGAGATCTCAACGCCAAAGTCGGAATAGACAACACCGGATATGAAAATATCATGGGACTACATGGACTGGGAGAGAGAAGCGAAAACGGCGAAAGATTTTCAAATCTGTGTGCATTCAATAAATTGGTCATAGGCGGTACAATATTTCCACACAAACGTATACACAAAGCTACATGGATCTCACCGGACCACACCACAGAGAATCAGATAGATCATATATGCATCAATAAAAAGTTCCGAAGGACAATGGAAGATGTGAGAATCAGGAGAGGAACTGACATAGCTTTAGATCACCACCTGGTTGTGGCCAATTTAAAACTGAAGCTAAAGAAGAACTGGACAACTGGACAAACAGCACCACAAAGGTTCAATACAGCCTTCCTTCGAGATACTGACAAACTCAATGAATTCAAGATAGCTCTCAACAATAGGTTCCAAGCCCTACAAGATCTACTGAAGGAAGAAGAAACTACTATGGAGGACAACTGGATAGGTATCAAAGAAACATTAACTTCAACGTGTCAAGAGGTTCTGGGTCCCAAGAAACATCATCACAAGGAATGGATCTCCATAGAAACACTGGACAGGATCAAAGAAAGGAAGAACAAGAAGACAGGAATTAACAACAGTCGAACACGAGCAGATAAAGTTCGAGCACAAGCTGAGGACATAGAAGAAAACAGGCAAGTAAAGAAGAGCATTAGAGCCGACAATCAGAAATACGTGGAAGAACTAGCAACGACGGCGGAGAAAGCTGCGAAAGAAGGAAATATGAAACAGCTTTACGATACGACGAAGAAGCTAGCAGGGAAATACAGTAAACCAGAGAGACCAGTCAAAGACAAAGAAGGAAGACCAATCACTGAGATTCAACAGCAGCGCAACAGATGGGCAGAGTACTTCGAGGAACTCCTGAACAGGCTGGCTCCAATGAATCCACCGGACATCGAAGCAGCACACACAGATCTTCCTATAGATGTCAATCCACCAACGACCGAAGAAAGCAGAATGGCCATCAGACAAATCAAGAGCGGGAAAGCAGCAGGACCCGACAATACACCAGGTGAAGCACTGAAATAAGACATCGAAGTAACTACAAACATGCTTCATCTTCTATTCAAGAAGATTTGAGAGGAGGAACAAGTGCCGATGGACTGGAAAGAAGGACACCTCATCAAGATTCCAAAGAAAGGAGATCTGAGCAAGTGTGAAAACTACAGAGGCATTACACTACTGTCAGTACCAGGAAAAGTCTATAACAGAGTGCACAGGTATACAGGAACAATTATTTACTCACCAAATATTTGTTTTATTGGGTTATTAAATAAAATTCCTCTCACTTTTGATAGATTACCCTCGTATCAAATTGTAAAGTTAAAGTAGTACTATGAGAACGTATTTCATTTGTAGATATACTTTTCTCAATCTGATAAGCCTATAAATCCTGATATTATAGAACAATGCGAAAACTTATTAACACACTTCGTAGTGTGGCGTTTAAAGTGCTTCTTATAATGCAAATCATTTAAAAACATTAAATTCCATATCTGGTAGACAATTTTGTCTTACCTGAAAACGTTCATTCAATTCATCGTAATTGCTTTTCTCCTCTATATACTCTGCTTCCAGGGCATCATATTCATCCTGCAATACAATAAAGTGATTTTCATTCAAAATATACAGATGTAAGATCTCTATTTTCCTAAGGTGATGTATTACAGGTGGGACTGTGATTTAGTGAATAAATTTCTGAATATTAAACTATTAAGTCTCACGATTGAATCCCAGTTCACGGAATTAGTTTGATTTAGGCATTTAAATAGTATCTATTTACTCCCATATCTAAAGTTAAACTCTAAACTGAGAACATAAATTTGGAATTGATAAATGAGCAGAATCAATTAATTGGATTGGTTGAAGTTAGATATAAACATCGTTGGATGCCGGCTCAGTGGTCTAGAGGTTAATCGTTTGCGCGCGAAACCGATAGGTCCTGGGTTCAAATCTCGTCATGTGGGATCGTGGATGCGCACTGCTGAGGAGTCCCACTCTAGGAGGAAACGACCGTTCAGTGCTTTCAGGTTTTCCATAGTGGTCTAGTTTGAATTGACTTATGTATCCAACTATTTAATTGCTATAATATCCACAATTAATTAATATTTATTAGTTCTCTATCACTGACAAAACTGTTACATTCAGACAGTGATTATGAAACGCTAAAGAGGACTTGACCTCTTCTATGAGGTTTTGTTAACTCATACAAGAAAACACTGACCAATTTAACTAGTATGGGTAAAATTTAGCGACCAAGTACAAATTTAGCCTAGAAGAAACTTTCGTTACTTTCAATGTTGTTCAGTTTTATGAAACAATTAGGCTTCGTCGTAATTATAAATTTCATTAGGAGTTAAAAGATACCATAAATTTCTGTTATGAAGCTATCATTCTGAAATTTAAATTATAACGAATAATATCAAATCCTTCTGAGGTACATAATACAAACTCTCGCCACACTTCAGTAAGAGATATTTGTCTGTTGTTAACCAAATGCAGAAAATTAAAACAGCAAAGTCTCTTGTAACATGTTTTAATGATAGATGGCTCGAGAATATACTCAAGCGATGGTTAACAAGATATGTAGAGAAACTAGAAGAATATGTTCATTCCGAGGTAATTTGACCTGAGTTCCAATGTACCTTAAAGGCAGTAGTGATATCTGTTGAGAACATAAACTACAATTTTACGGAAATCCAGTTGATTCTGGTGTCTTTGAATGAATTAACAGATACTCAAAGGTTCTTCCTGATAGTCTTTTATCGTGATAAAGTGCAAAATCAACATAAATATAGACTAATTATGTGTTTAATCAGTGGTAAAATAGTGTTTATACGTAAAAGCAAACTTTTGACTATAATTATTAAACGGTCAAAGATTAAAATATCATCCGTTAGGAAAACCATGATTAACTTTCAATCAACTATTTACGATTCATTCATATTCTTAAGTAAACAGAATATAGCTATTGAAACATAGAATAAGGAAGATTGGTTCATAGGAGAGTTCTCTTTTTGGTGAGTTCATTTTCAAAGCTGTACAATCTGATATATTAACTTATTTTTCTAAACGATAATAATGACAATGTTGGTGATAATAAAATTTTCACTGAACATGGTAATGGTGAAGTAAAATAAATGAAGGCATAAAAGCTTTATTTTTCTTAAGGAAACTGTTAACAATTTTGTTGTTGATGGATTGAATATTCACTATCGAAATAAATAAAGAATTATAAATGAAAAGGAAAAGCTCAGAGTAATAAGATAAAATGATGGCTGTGAAAGAAGAATAGGAAAAAACACAAGAGATTAAGATCATTGTAGAAGAAGAGGTTGTATCTGTTATATCCTAGTGAAGATTACATTACGAGTAACGTCTGAGACCTATTAATGGACTAATATTATTTATATATTCTTATGGTATAAATATTCAGTAACTAGATCATGTATATCTATATTCCCCTTGTTATAAGTTTTATTTTGACTTATATATTATTATTGTACGATTTACTGTCCCTAAATTATGCTCACTTCATTAACTACCGTCTCCCACGCTCACATCCACTTATTGGCTTTATTGTGTACAAACGTTATTACCTATTTTATGGGCGTTACGATCCTTTTGTTTGATATATAAACCCATTATGTTTGAAATATATGATTCGAATAGTGGAAGCTGGTATTGGTGTTCTGGACTCAAGTGGACAGGCTAGGCGAACATAGGACCAATAAAGACGCTAGGCTGCTCATACTGGTCGAGCGTCATTGGTTCGACACAGTGCTAAGATTGTATAAGTCGTATTTTGATTGGTGGATACATCACGTGACAAAAAGTTGGACATAAAGACACCAAATTATCAATTTCTTTTGTACACATAGTTATGGTTTTTCAAAATATATAGCAAATGCTCCGTAAATGCTAAGACAACAGCTCATTGTCTTTGGAAGCTTTCTGCTTACTTTATAGATGACTTTGAACCCTGAATCCGTTTTGATTAAATGACCTGTGTTCACAAGGTGTTCGTTAATACAGTCTCTTATTGATGTGTTTCTGCCTCTTTTCGGATAAACCTGGTAATGTTCTTGAATCTCTTTAGATAAAATACACATTGAACGACCTGTATACCTAGCTCCACATGAACAGTTAAATTGATAAATTCATATAAAATTGGTCGTTAGAGAGAGTTCATCCTGTGGATTGTTACTGAACATTGGTTGGCTGGAAAACGCTGACCACAAGGTTGCTGTGACGAAATTTTGGTGAGACTATAATTTATGCATAACTTTTGAGCAACACTGAGGTGACCTTGAGAATGATCACCTATTAATTAGGAACAAATGACGGTTATAAAGCAGTGTGAGAAATTAGAATTATGATTTAAAGTTGATAGTTAGGGTTTGAAACCAGATTTAGAGTTTCATCACGAACTGATATCAGTTAAAATGCCAAGACGCTATTTAGCCAGATAGATGAATAATATTCGCGCAAAAACCCAAGATCTTTTATCTTATATCTGACATTCGAATTTTCCAAACTTTTATTCAGTAGCTTTTAAAATGCTTCTCATAGAGTTCATCACTTGGAAAATTATAAAATTTTACTTTCAGAAACATTTTAATCTATACGAATATTTATCAGTATTAGAACGAATAGTTCGACAAAAATTGGGCGCCGAGTATAGAGAAGACGTTATGTGTGAAAATTATATTTGAAATAATCTCAGCGATTGAAATTTAAATCATTCTAACATTTCGTCCAGCAAACTTGTCTGGACATCTTCCGTTTAATAATCGGAGTCAAGATCATCAAAGAAATATATAGCATTTAACAATCAAATCGAATCTATACTGTGCTAATCCAATCATATTTAAATGATGACTTTAGTAAATAGGATAGCATTTAACTGACTCACGTTATCCTATTTAGCAAAGTCATCATCTAAATATGATTATATTAGTACAGTATGGATGCTATTTGATTTGACTGATAAACGCTATATATTTCTTTAATGATCTTGACTTTGATTATTAAACTGAAGATGTCCAGACAAGTTTGCTGGACGAAATGTTGGAATGATTTGAGTTTCAACTGCTCACATTTTAACCTGCTTGGAACCAGAGTTTTCAGATGTATTTTTCGGTTGGTAGGTTTAGCTCGATAAAATCTCTTTTAATAAAAATCTTAAATTAATGTTTAATATTATATTAAAAATAGTATTATATTCAACAACAAAAACAACAAAAACTGATAATTTAACCTTAGTACCTGCAAGACTGTCATCTCTTGATCATATTTAGAAATCTTCGACTCAATATCACTTTCCATTTTATAAATGGTTGCTCGAATTGTTTCCTCTTCAGAACGATTAGTCTCAATCAACTTTTCAAGTAGTATTTCTTGACTTTTCATTTCTTTACTTAAATTATTTTCATTTTCTATATAGAGGAAGTATCGAATTATATGAAATATTTATTGTATTGTAGATAATAAGAATTTAAGAATATGAAAGCATATTATTTAAAACAAACTCACAATGTGAATCAAATTGTTTGTATACACAGACTGTGACATCAACTCTCTGTTACTTAACTGAATCCAATTGACGAGTTTCAAATAGGACGAAACATGCGCCGTAGATTCTACTTCTGATCACTATCCAGAATATGCAATTTGAAAAATACTGTCATTTGATTGTTTATGGCATAGTTATAATCTCAACCAAGTAGGAGTTTTGCTATTCATTCGTTTGAATGATACATTTGAAAGTAGTCTGTTACTTCTAATGTGATTGTGAACTCATCAATAAAACGTTTGAGAGAAATTATTTCCATGAGAGAGGAATTGCAGTAAGAATAACATCTTAAATACCTTTATTAATAGGATTCAATAAACTCAAATGTACGGGTAAAAGGGTATGGAACGAATTTTGAATCATACAAAAACAACAATCACTTTCGCAACTGACGAACGATAACTTACGGAATTTCTTTGACGTAATTAATTCATTTACCAAGTACAGATTTAGGAATTGTGTTTTGATAACTGTTGATACTGAAAGTGGATAAATTAACCACCTACCGTATTCACCTCACACAAACTCTGTGAAAATCATAATACAATATTTATCATGCGTTTACTAGTGACCAGAGGGAATTCCCGAAGCTTTGCCATGAAACTGTGACTAGTCGAGATAAACCGTGTCGGGTGCTAGAGAGGTACTCACCGAATACAATGGAAGATGGTCGCACAATGTTGTGGATTGACTGAAGTTAGACATCAACATAGCTGAATGTCGACTCAGTGGTCTACAAGTTAAGCATTTGCGCGAGATCAAATGTCCTGGGTTCGAGTCCCGCATGCGAGATTGTGGATGAGCACTGCTGAGAAGTTTCTTACTAGGACAAAACCGTTTTTCAATGCCTCCAGGTTTTAACTGGTGATCTGATTTGTATCGGTTCATGATTTCAGTGAAATCTATCTAACAATTAATTGTCCATCAAACTTCATTCAAAGTTGATACCTTAAAGAAGTATATGCTAATATAAATAAGAATACACTATTCTACTTAGTGAGTTGCTCTACCTCATATTAACGATCTCAAATGTATATCAAGTGACTAATTCACTCATTCAAAATCGTACTGTGATAAGTACCAACTAACTATATGGTTACACAGTGCTTTCGTAGAGACAATATAATTGAATATCAACTAAATGAATATTAGTAATAGTGTCAAGTTAGTTTGTTTAACTGTGGAGTCAATTTACAAAGATATAAACGCAATATATCATTAGAATAAAAATGATTCGTCTCCATGGACTTTGACGATCAAAGCATTGCTCGTTAGAAATAAAATAGAAATCTAAAACACTGCCAAATAATATTTCTAAAACTTGATGTTCGGTCGGATATAATGAGCATACAGTCTGACACAAATGCTCATAAGCTCAAGTTATCATACCACATCAGAACGTTGAGATAAGATTACCAAGATAAATAACAAACTAGTCGAAATAATAGTAGTATCAACGATTGTGATCGGTCAGTTATAACACATGATAGAACCTGCGATATTTGCCACACCCCAATAGTACAGCAAGATGAAATGGTTGAAATAAATCAAATAGTATGAGTAATAGTAATATCATTAGTAGTAATAGAAAAGAGGAAGAATGGAATATACGATTCAATAAGAGAGTTCACGTCAATGAAATAATAAAATCTGTAAGGCAATTTAAAAACTTAGGATCTACGGGAAAGCAAAGAGTGAATTCGCCTGAGCCATTACGATCGGTTTTGATACATGTCAATCGAAGCCTGTAACCATAAATTACGATAATTCCATAGACCTCAACCAGTTAGTCTGCATCTACCTCCACTGCTCATTCTTATAATCAATGACTATATACACTGATGACATCTATGACATAGTTTGGCTGTCCTTAGTTTTCTTCTAACCTATTCCTACTCCAAGAATATGAATTAATTGTTACAGTTGTATGACAATTACTAAGTCATTAATGAAAGTGTTTAAACCACTGATAAACGTATCTCTAAAAGAAGTCTACTATTTTGTTAACTCAGTTTCTTTAAATCTAATTATCGTTTAGATTATTAACGTATTCATACATCGATAGGTACAGTTTAGATTACAACTCGGCTTCTGAATGTTATACTCAACCATTTGATTTGGAGGTTTTCATGTTTTCTGTATTGTTAGGAATTGTGAATCTGGGAAAGAAACAGATGTATACTGTTCGTCAACCCAAATATCAATCATACATTATCCTCAATAATAATGATGTATCATATTTTAAGAATAAGAAGCCTAAGTAATAACTGTTCAGTTAACTTACCATCGTTTTGTTTTGTGATTTCTGTTATTTTTTTCGCCTCTTCAGTGTTAATTTGTTTTTTTCGTTCAGTTAAATATTTTTCAAGATTATCAATTTCATTTTTAAGTTTTGAAACAGTATAACCAATTTTCCTAGTCTGAAATTGAAACAATTTAACTTGTTGGAGATTTGTAGCTCAGGTGGATGATTTTGATGGAGTTTTGTTCTCTGAGCTAGATGGTTTGGTCGTGGAGTTTTCTGAACGACATCATCAGCACAATCAGAACAAAAAGAACTTATCATTGTGTACTTCTTTGTTTTGGTTGTACAAACATAAGAACAAAAATCAAACCAAAACAAAGAAGTAAACAATGACAAGTTTCAAGTCAACAAGAACCAATCAACATCGAGGTGTACAGGACAAGCTGTGAACCACAAATGGAGAAATTCGAACGCTTCACTTCTATCTGAAGTTTGTGCTGATGATGTCGTTCAGAAAAACGATGAAAGTTCCACGACCAAACCATCTAGCTCAGAGAACAAAACGCCATCAAAATGTAACTTGTTCTTCGTTTTTATTAAGACTTTTGCAACGATACTCTTTTTGATAAGAAAACATATGAAATGGACAATCTTGTGAATGATGTAGTCACATTATATTAATATTTTTCTGGTACAGGATAGATTATTTTGATGGATATTATCATACCAAGTGAAAAATTCTAAGTAGAAAATAACTGGTGTCATGCATTGTTCTAATTTGTAAGCAAGGACAAAAGACTACTGATTTTTGATTCATTTATAAACAGTTACTGATGACCAATGCTTATTCATCATTAGAGAACAGTGAATGCATGATAACTATTGCATTATATAAGTATGATTTTATGGTTAAAATCTACAACAACTTTTATAATTTCTCTAACATTGTTTTGTTCTATTTGACTACCACTTGATAATAAAGAAATTTGAATGGGAACATTTTCTATGTACTTCATAGACCTTCAATATTGTCTAACAGTTACGAGTTACCAGTTTTGTACTCCTTATCTCATAATTTTAATTTAAGGTTAGGTGGGTTATTTTGCATGTTTAGTAAATTCTATGTGAAAGATTGTGAGTGATTTAAATAAGTACCACCTTAGACCATAAGCGATTGTAATAAAAGTTTACTAGTCTTAATTTAATTAGTTTATTGTTAAGGAGAGCTCAGGTTATTCAGTTTTTGTTACTACATTTCAGTTTATTATAGAAAGCATAAACTCGATGTTTTTTAAATTCATATTTCCAGTGTGAACCTTGCTGTTATCTGATTGGTTGTTATCGCTTCTGGTTCGCTTAGTTTATATTCTTTAAGGTAGTTGAATGTTACTAAATCGAGTTGTTTTGTTTCAATTTTGGACGTTTGTTAGAAATATAGAGCTATTTTGAAAGTCTTGTCTTCTCAATATTATATTTACTTGTGGATCATTAGAGTTGAAAAGTTGTTGTGTATCAAACACTCAGCCTATCCTATTTTTCATTTAATGCGTTTGTATTGTATGAATCCTCCATCGTTAGTAAATAGGATTTAACAATATCCAACTGAAAACTCTGATACATAGTCGTTTAAATCAAGATTTAACAGTTTCAATGTAGCTTAAGTTATCCCATTGATCATTTCTCGAAATTAATTATAATCAATTTAAATTTTTTTATTTACATTATCTCTTTCTATTAAATACATTATACTTCACAATTGTAAAACAGATTTTAGCCATAAACTCTCTTTTCTCAATTCCCGAATTGAAATCAGCTGGAATTGTGCAAATAATTTCATTCTCTTTTCCTTCACCTCTAAACTTATAAACTATTATAAATAAATGAATATATTTGTAATATCCCACTAAGTCACGAAACGTCGGAAAATCTAATTTTTCTACTCATTGGAATATTACAAATATATTATTTATTTATAACAATTTACACAATGCTCAATTGATTCAAAATTATCAAATCAAAACTTGGTAATGATACCTTATAAATTAATGTTATATATATTTTTCAATAGTCAATGGTACTGTTGCTATTACTCATCTCACATTGTTAGTTTTAAGAGTGAAAACCTCCAATAATATACACTTTTGCCTGTTATATCTATAGCTTGGATTCTTGTTATACCGTTTACAACTTGAGCACTAAAACTCTCCAAGTCACAAATTAAAATACAGAATACAAGTGACAAGAATGCTATTCCAGACAGTGTCAAATATGGTATAAGATTATCAGGTAATTAAAGTTTTTTAGTAAAAACGAAATCATCATTATAGTCATCCTATCTATATACAGGAGGATTTTATCATTTGTCTAATAAGGAAGCTACACGTAGAGATTCTGTAATATTTTTTTTCTGAAAGATGATTGGGTAGAAAGTCTTCGGCTCTTTCCAAGCTTCTTAGAGCTCATGGACTGTCCTCACATTGACAAGTTTTGACCTGATTATATAACTCTTTATTGAATTACGATATATATATATATATATATATATATATATATATATTCATATCATCATTTACACTTACTTCTGTATTATTCTGACAAATTTGTATATCCAATTCTTTAATAAGTTCAGTCAATTTTGTTTGACATTCTTGATCTCTAGTTTCAAGTTCTTTTATGTATAATTTTTTACGTTTTTTATCTTCTGGTGTAATTAATAATTTTATTAATAATAATATTCTTAAATGTATTAAATATTCTATTAATTTTGTTTTATTATTTTGAGAAAATTGTGGTATTTGTATCCATTTAACATTCATGATATAATTAGTAATTGTTTCTGGTAATTTCCATTTATTAAATAATTGTTTATTATTATTATCTAATAGAACTTCAGATAATACTTGATTAATTAATGGTTGTGATGATAGAAAATGTAAAAAATTTCGAACATTATTCTCTAATTCTTCATTTATATTATATTCCTGAAATATTGTGAAAGATAATAAGTTTTATTGTATAATATTGATAATTAAATATAGAATGGATTAAGAATATTTCTATCATTTATCAAACAATTGAATTGATAAAGGAAACTAATCAATTATATTAACTTATTAAACAATTAATCAAATTTAAGATCTATCATATTATTATGACTACTTGTGAATAAAAGTAATGCATTTTAAAAACATACTTTAAGGACGTTGTTTGATAGGATAATGAAAGGTTAACATTTAAACTATTTATTACAATGAAACGATGAACTAATAAAATTGTATATGTAAGATACAAATTTCTAATCTTTTTTTATATTTGTTGGCGTCTATGTGTTATTAAAGTATAGTATTCTGATTTTGGTATCGTCAAAACGTTTAGCTAATAAGTTTAAGCTAATAAGTAACTTCTCAATAAATTTTTTAAGGAAATTTATGATATAATTGATCAGTCGACTACTAATTATGCAATGGTTAGTGTCGACCGCATATTGATTGATTCCAAGAAGTTTTATACACTTATCTTTTTTAACGGGAACTCATAAGATTTAAAGGGAAAAATAAATATTTCGTTGAAAAAAATCTTCCTTAAAATAATTTAGCATGTATTCTGTAAGAATATTAAAATATTATCCCATCAAATCTGTTGATTAAAATGATACATTTACAGCATAGAAACGGAAAACATACGTGAGACTATAATTTATGGACGATCTTTGAGCAATCCCAAATGACCTTGAAAATGTACACCAACTTACTAGGGTTAAATGAGGGTTATAAATTGATACGACGAACTAGGATTAAGATTTACATTTGGACGTTAGGTTTAGGAATTATATGTAATGTTTTTATCACGAACTGATATCAGCTATAATGCCAAAATGGTATTTAACCAAAGGAGTAGACCAATCTCGCGCCAAAATCTAAGACCTGCTATCTTAAGTTTGATTGGTTCGATCATAAATTATAGTCTCATCATTAAAGAACTATAAACTTAAATCATTTATGATTTTAATTTGAAGAAAAATTCTATCTATAGAATTGTAATTTTGGTGGGTGGAACAAGGAAAATGTCAGGAAGTTTATGATTTTTGTTGTTAACAAAATTTCATTCATGCTATAGATTATCATTCTTTCCATTTAGACAGCATAATATTCATTGACAGGTTATAGTAATATTTCTACGAAGATTTCATTCTAGCTTATTATTTGCATGAAGTTAGTGGTAAAATTAATTTGTTGTTTGAAGTCGTGAATAACTACTTATTTGAAAGAGATTTATAAATCATTTAGTCTCATTTTATTATTGATATAAGTGAATTGCAATTTATTTCTTACTAAGAAAGCAGATAAGATGAAAAACAAAGACTAAAAATTAAAATCCATTTAGAAGCAGATTTCAGAAACACCTTATTTTTTCGGTTAAAGAATTGTTAGCCAGATTCCTTCAAGTAGCCTCCAATGATATCTGTCTAGTGTTATAGTGATTTAACATTTGTAGAGGCTTTAAGGGACAAGTTTGATTACAAAAATGTTGTACCTACCGGTTCGTAAGATGCGCTAAATTGTTTCTAATATCAACAAATTTTCAGTTTTATAGTTTATAAGATTTAATAGATCAACAGTCTAGGATTTATTGAACTTAATTGTAAAATTCTCATCTTTGGTTACTACTTCTCACCCTTTGAGTGTGTATAGGGGAGAAAGATCATTAAAACTACAAGCTACTCAAATGAAATCAGTATGAATGAAAAGTCTTCACCTTGATTTAAATAATAATCCTCATACTGTAAGCAAACTGTTAAATACTCTTTTGCTGAAGCTGTACAATCTGTAGAGCTTGTTAATAAGAACTTTGCAACAATTTTCGAGTGACTTATAGCCAATACACTTAGCGATGTACATTTTTGGCCAATACGTTAGAATAACACTGTAATCGTAATAGGGGACTAGATTGAGCATTGTTTATGCTTACAGAACATCTTTACTTCTAGCTATTAATATGAATGTTGAATAAAGGTAAAATACACTTTCTTGCTAGTTGAACATACAGTATGCGATTAAAGTATTTGATTTGTATGAATATCAGAAGATTCCAAGTAAAATGTTTTAAAGGTTTATTTTCCAGCAATGACCGATGCAAAAACAATTCAAAATTCTGTCTGAATGTTAAATCACTTCAGGTAATTAGCTAACATACATTGTCATTTTGTTTTAAAAAATTTTTTATCAATCAAAACTGATCAATGATACCGGTAAAATTAATTAAAATAGTCACCCCTACATTGGAGACACTTTATATTCTTTTATATCATATTAAGATCGAAAGCAATAAGTGATAAATAGTTTGGATGCAGAAAACTACCATACATTTTTTTTCTTTAAAAAATCGTGTTTTATACTACATAAAAGTCTATTAGAAGAGAATTATAGTAGCACATAAAAATATATAGGTATCTGCAATTCAGTAGTTTCTTAATACGTTACACAGTGAGAAATTCACTTTTTAAATCAAAGGTAAACTTTTGTTTGTTATATTTAAGCAAAGAGAAGTGTAAGCCAGACCATACAGCTAACTCATTGTGAAGATGGGTTACCATGTAATTGTTAGAGTTCTAAGCCGCAGAACACACTCTGACTATCAAGAGTTATGTGGGTAAATTATTATAGCTTCAAAGCAATCAAAATCTCACAAAAAATGAATAGATTAGCTTCGTTAAAATCTGAGGTTACACATGTGATTTGCAGTGCAATGAGGAATTTTTAACCAGAAGATAAAGTGTCGAAGATAGAACCCTGAAAGGTTTGACAATAACTAAATACAACAAACTTTGTAAAGCCTTCCAAAGTAGTAATTATCATTACCAAAGATATAAATATCCATCTCAAACCAATTCAATCTGCATTCACATTGATAAGTATTTTAAAACTCTGTAATACCTTTTACTATTTAGAATTGATCAACAGATACACGAGGATGCATACTTTTGCTTTTTTAAATTTCCACTGATAATTTATTTCACATGTTTTGAAAAATATTTTCTGAACTCACCGAAGGATCGTTTATTTCTGGTTCTAACAAAGTTTTGTTGTGAGCAAGCATGTAACTTACTGGTATTTTTCAGCATCTCACAGTTCTCAGACAAACTTTTATGTAAATAAGGATTGTTAAGATTACTAGCTTTTATTAAGTCATATTTTTTTGCTTGATTTAAGTAAGAACTCACACGGTCTAGTAGGTTTCCTTCATTCTTGACCTGTGGACTCTTATGAATTAATATTGAAATGACATACCTCAGCAAATTCCTTTATGTTCTGCAAACATAAAACAGTTAATACCTTTTGTAAAGCTGCGTCAAAAACAGCAAGCACCTTTTTGGAGATTGGAGATTCAATGTGTCTGCTTAGTGGCATCAATTCTTTGATGAAATTCATTCTTTGACATGGTATTCTACGCTCTAGGTCCATGTTCGTAATAGTTCACCAAAGATTGTACAGCAACTGTCAGTTGATTTGCAGGCCGATAAACTAGGAAGTAAATCAGTTTATCAACTAAAAAATTTGAGTTGATAAAGAGAAAAATACTTGAGTCTTATATATATGACAAAGCAGAAAATTTGTCTTCGACTTATTATAGAAATAACACAATGTAGTACTTTAACTAAATTTGTAAATGCTTTTGGAAGCAGAGCAACTTCAGTTTATTAGGATATATTGGTATTCAAAACTGTTTGATTGATTTACAAAGATAAGAGTCTATCTTCAGTAATAAGGGTAGGAGGTCTGTCAACCTATATTAATCCTTGCAGTTTGTAGTACTGTGGAGGTCCAATCTCGTCTTGAGCATATCAACAGAAGGTGCTGATATTATGTGTTCCGGTAGAGAATTCCAGTAATTCACTGCTCGATGCGACAAATGAAACTCCAGACGTAAACGAATTGATCTCAGTTTTTGAACCTTTTTCGTATGTCCCTTCAAATGATCAGTCCTAGACGGAAGTAAAAGATAAAGCCTTTTAATACCAAGGTCGTCGTTTGGTATACGATAAGCCTATATTTTATCACACCGTATTCTATGGTAAGATAACGGAAATAATGTGACGTCTCAGTCTGTCTTCATAAGATATCTGTCCTATATAGGCCAGATAGACCTTGCACCATCTCAGTACCTCGTTGTTGGACTCTTTCCAGCATGTCTGTTTTATACTTGAAACAACGACTCGCTGCTTGAATCCCAAATTCTAAATGTAGTCGCACGTAGATCGGGTATAATAATCTAAACATTTTATCATCTACTTATGAATACATAACTAAAAGGCATAAAATGATCTCGAACCTCTATTGGTACTAGCTCTGAACATCTCATACTATTTGTCTCCGAATTCACAATTAATGATTTGTTTTATGTTGCTTGGTTATAGATTCGCTCTTATATAATGTACTCTAGATTCATTCTTATTCATTAAACTTAAACAGTTAAATTAGTGGTATTGATCCAGACATTCAATCAATCATTAACTTTAAGTCAAAGGTCATTCTTATCTTACCGAATTGTTAATGTTACACACTACGTAATTCGGTTTAGCTCGGTACTTGAGGTCTCGCGGTAGTCATGTCTCAGAGCGTTAAAACAAAAACCACTTCAAACTTCATACTGATGGCTCCTAGGCCGAGGCTAAAGAAGCCTCAGAGAATCCAACACCGTTTCTTAATAGATGTTGAAAGTCTCAAATGATTTTATAGAACTAGATAACATGTGGAGAGCAAGTGGTAAAAATAATCCAAGGAGCAAAATCTTCAACATGCTAGGGAGTGTTTAGCTACGAGGAGCACTGGTATAAATAACAAGTAGCGGTAAAAAAAATCCCCGGAATCAATACTTCTGTAGGTCTTCAACGTCTCATACTGACCGCATTGATTTCAATGGACTAACCTAGCTGAGGACCCTCGGTTACTCATCCGCACCAGCTCCCGAGTGGGTACGCCGTACTACGCATCACTTTCAACCGACAGTCTTCTTAATATATCTTCGAACTCCTCCATTTCTGCCTTCTGATCTGGCTGTGATGGCATACTTTGAATATAAAGGTATTACTGGCTAAAGCATTGTCAAACTCCGAATACTTGTGGAGTCCTTAAATAAATCGCTTTAGGCGGCCTAAGTAAGATTCAAGAAAGAAAAACAGTGGGACACTAGCTACTGAAATTGGAAGATCATGGAAAATTAAGGCACAGAAGAAATTACAAAGTTATAAAAGCGAAAGAAGAAGAGGATTCAAGCCGATATATGGAAGTATTTAAAAGCCGTCCAAACTGCTACAGAGGAATCTGCAAGGGGAAATATGAAAGAAGTATATGAAACAACAGATTAGCTAGCTGAGAACTATAGTTAAACAGAGCGATCAGTCGTCAATAGTGAATAAGAATCAATCACTGGGAATGAAACTCGTGTAAATGGCGGGTGGGATACAGAGAAGAACTTTCGAAAGTACCAGACTCACTGGAACTACTGAATTTCGAAGCAGCACATAAATTTCCTCACAGACGTCATGGGACTAACATCACAAGAAATTACTATGTCCACCATACAAACTAAGAATGATGAGTTAGTGAAACCAGAAAAAATGCTATCCGATGCATTGTATTTAGATACAACATTAACCGTAATAATTTTTTATGTTACCTTAAAAAAGTAGAAGGAGGAATAACACGTGCCAACAGACAAGAAAAGTAAATACTATGATATTCAGAAATATTCGAGTTAAAATGCAAACCAACAACGCCTACAAATGTATGATCCACGTTAGAGAAAACTCACACAACTGAACGCACTGTACTTAAAGTTCATAATAGGCACGGGATGATGTAAAAATCGGTTTCTTGACTCAAAAATCACAGATACCTGATCAAAATATAGCAGAAACAATGACTTATAAGATGTGAGAAATACAGGGAAACCACAGTTTTCAAGGTACAAAGCAAAAATTTCAACACTATAGGCGAGCTGAATGAAAGATTCAGTGAACATCCGACAAACTAGATTTGGTGGAGGTCGATGATGTAGCGAGAACAAATCCTAACAATCGGAATAATTGTGGAGTAACCAATTTAATGGAACTCGTCACTGTAATCACCTTCGTTGATTACGTAAAAGCATGTAACAGGGTGGACATAACTGTTACAACTTGCAATTTTAGTGAACTACATTAGGAGATGAGATTTCTCAAGACCTACGAGATGTGGGTGTTCAAAAAACTTACGATCACCCACAGTATCGGATCTGTAATAGCAAAACAACTGAAAGTCATTGGGACTTACATTTAGGGTTTTCATCACCAACTGACATCAACTATAATTCCAAATGGATAGTTCAATTTCGCGCCAAATCCGAAACATCTTATCTTTTACCCGATTGCTTCGTCCACAAATTATAGTCTCGTCTATAACTCAATGTTATGGGTCGCCTATATGCAAGCTAATAAACTTTCGTAGTGACTACCAGCTGATTATGGTTTATCTGGTTCTATTCTAGTGCCAGTTTGTTGTAGATGATAAGACTCGAAATCATCGGCGCTATCTGTTTTCGCTTATGAGATCACTGAGTTCGCTGTTACTGCCTTCAGTGATTCACTTTCAGTTGTATGTGGTGATTTCAATTCATGTGACTGTAGCTTCCTTATATCATTAGGTCACCAAAATATAGTAGATTTTCCTACTCGGTTGGATGCTCAATTAGGCTTCCTTTTCATTAATGATGTGGGTATATAGGTGACTCGTTAACGTGCTCCATTGTCTAGCTCGGATCACTGTATAATTTGTGTTATACTTAAAGTATATGGAAAGCATGGGAAAAGTACACTTAAATCAATCCAAGAAAGTCAAATATAGGAATTACTCAGAAGAAAATATCCGAAGTCTGAAAAACATGTTTCATATGACCAACTGGGAATTATTTACAGATGACTCACTGGAAATCACTACTTGTGTTATCATTGTTACCTTAAATTCTGTTTTGATATTTGTTGTCCCACTGAAACTATTTTTTGTAAGTTTTGATCGACTTACATCTTCACAACTAAAACGACTACGGAAGATGAAAGAATGAATGTACAAGGAGAAAAACTAGTAAAATTCGTAAGTCAAATGGTCTGATAAACCTAGAGATTAGTCGCCTCAACTCTGTGTTTACTCAAAAACTCTTGTAAAAACTCTTCAAGTATGTGGAAACTCTTTAAAAAACTTACAGGTGACAGACACATTGAAGGCGATAACCAGCTGAATGTTTGGGACTTAAAAAGTCTTTTGTACGTCAGTCATCTGATGTAATGCTCCCTTTATCTACAGGTTTAAAGAATAGCTGTCTTCCTAGTTTCACTGAAACTGGTGTCCGAAGATGTCTCCAGTCACTCAATCCATCCCGATGTTTAGGACCTGATGGTATCCAAAACCTCCTTTTCAAAAAATGTGCTGGTGTTTATTGTTATCCATTCACGACTATCTTTAACAGATCCTTTGCATCTAATCTCACACCGAAAATGTGGAGAAAGTTAAAGATAATCCTTGTACCCAAGAATGTATCTGGTGATAAGAATGTGAAATTTGGACCTATTGCAATAACTTCACCCTTCCTCGAGACAGTCGAAAAATTATTGATACTTCTACTTCAGCCTGAGAAAAAAGAGCACATTGACCAGTATCAGTTTGCCTACAGATGCAAAAGAAGCAACTTAGAAGCCGTTGCTGTCCTGTATCACAATATAGGGTCCAACTTAGAAAAGGGTAAGAAGTATGGTCAATGGGCTTTTCTGGACTATAGTTCAGTTCCATACCAAGACAACGTTTACTTAACAAGTTATTCAGCGTCAACACTGACAGCTGGATAACCAACTGGCTATGTTCCTACCTCTCTGGAAAGGAACAGTACACAGTATTTTGAGGAAAGTGTTCCGAGTCTCTACTGTCTTACTAAGGTTTACCACAAGGAGCTGTTCTTTCACCTCTTCTTTTCTCTTTCTTTCTGCATGATCTGCCATCTTCCATAGTAAACACGTTTGTGAAATATGCGGATGATCTCACTGTATGTATGTCGACCTTTACCCTTTTACATCCCATAGAAATGAATGAGTTTTTGTCTCGTATTGATTGTTGGTCTGTTGTTACCTTTTCCTCTGATCTCTCTTGGTCTTCCCACGTTTTATTGTTATCGAAGTTTTTCCGTCTGACTTACTACATAAAGAGATTGCATGCTCTTTGGATCACTCGTCATTTACTCTTACAATTTGTCAATCCTTGCACATTACCTATTATTGTTTCCCGGGCTTTTTAGAAAAGACTTTGCTGTATTGCGGAGAGTGCTGAAGGCAGTTAGCAAGGTGTGTGGTGAATCTTTCGAGGTCATAATTAATATGGTTGTGGATAGACATATAAAGTCATGCAAACGCCTGGCAGGGGTTATTTTATCAGATACTAAACATCCCCTTCACTCATATCTTTCTCCTTGTATACCTTCTGGTAGAACGAGACGAAATTACATTAAAATCCAAGCACGCAAGCAAAAGTATAAAAGTTCTATAATACCTTACCTAACAAACATACTCTATGATGAACAAGTTGTTGGAATTAACCTAGTCAAATAACCTGCATTCTTAACATGCATCTCATTTGGAAAGTTGTACAGTTTTTCAGATATTTTTACTGCCCTTTTTTCTTTCTTCTGTCTTTATTTCTGTTTTTCGCAAATGTTACTTGTTGAAATCGTTTGTGCTGAAACTTCTGGATTGTACCAAAATATAATATTGAATAAAGCCATCAATAATTGTAATGTTTATGCCTACTGAGGCGGAGACAGCTGCTACACTGGTTGTTTTCGCCTGCATTTGTTGGAGATATGATTGAAAGGAGTGTGGTGTCGATTACTACGTTAAGGCCTCATAATTTATTCTAGCTTCTGGACAGTCCAATTTATCCTTTCTTCTTGAGTCTAATTTCAACCCTCTTATTTATTGTTCAGATCATTGAGTGTACAAAATATCCTTACTTACTTTACTTATGCCTGTTACTCTCAATGCAGCATAGGCCGCCGACCATTAGTTATCTTCATAGCAGTGTGATATACTAAATGGACATCTAACCCGTGATACAAACGCTTTAAGTATCTGAATTGCTTGTAACATGGAACTAGTACAGACAGTGTATTCCAACTATGTGCTTCGATCAGAGCAATATTCATACTTACCACAAATGTAAGAGGGCCTAACATCACAAAAGGAGGGCGAGTGGCGTTGCTGACCAGTAAACATAGTGGTGGGGAGATAACTTCAATCCACTGATGTCTGTAGGGCAGAACATTTCGTTAAATTACGGCTCCTTATGGTCTAGTGGAATGCCACAAACTAATGGTATTGATGCTGATTTATCATGCAAAATACTTCATTAAATAGTGTTAAGAAAGTTGAATTGGTTTCACTTCCTACCCAGTAATCCTATTACAAGCAGACTAGACAATTCGCTAAAAACGATGCCTACTCAAGACCCTAAAAATCTAAAAAAGGCTCCAATAGTGTCGACAAAAAAAGAAGACAGCCATTTGTGTTTCATAACACTGTTTTTA